CGGCTTGTGTCCAAGGATGGGATTCAGCCTGGGGAAAAAAAAAAAAAAAAATTAAAAGAATAAGACGATCCAGGATGAGTTAAACTGGGCATTACTCATATGTTGGTTTTTTTTTTTTAACCATTTGCCATAACACTGTTTTCCTAAAAATGCTTCAGAAAATGTAGGTAAATGATTTTCCCCCACTGTCAAAAGACCATCTGCTGTTTGAGAAGACTCTCTCCTGGATTTTATCGTTATAATCATTTTTCTATTTCCAGTTAGCAGCATGCTCCCTTTTATATGATATTTTCTGCAGAAACCACTGTTTTCTCTTTAGCAGATTTCCTGAGGCTAACTTGGCATTTACCGGTGTCTTCCTCCTTTCTCAGGGTGAGGATTTTCTTTCAGAGGGAGATACATTTCTACATTAGCGCCTATTCATTTCCTTTTCATTTACTCAGAGAAAAACAATCAGGTTCATCACTGCTTGTAGTCATGGAGATTTCATGTCTCCAGAAGAAATCCAATTGTGGAATTCCTTTGTTAATCCCACACTGGACATTTAAGCTTTTGTGTTTGGATCAGTGCAGCCCAGGCAGGGGAGCCAGTGAAACAGGTTACAACACGACTCTTAATCCAGGGTGGGCAGGGGAAGTATGTGCAGCAAGGCTGTCCTGGGATGCTGGGGGCGGCAGCGGGGTTGGGTAGCAGGTGCTCGGGCTGTGGTTGGCAACGGGACAGGTGAAGATCTTAGGCTGGAACCACCTGCAAGACATTTGCATCCCACGGTGTGGATGAATTGAGCACAGCACATCTTCCTTGTAGGCCTGTCCTGTCCTCCCCTGTGTTCCCCCCCCTACCCCCAGCACCACCATGTGCTGAGCTGTCTGCGCCTTGATTTTGCTCCTCCTTTCTATAGTCTTGACTTCTATTCCTAGTGAAACCTGCCTCTCCGTGCATCCTCCTTTCTTCCATTCCTTTAGGCCTTCACATCTCCCCAGTTGCTCCCCACTGGCTGCAGTCTCCTAAGTGTCTGTCTCTCCCGCCACTGGCCAGTGTCCTGCCTCCCCATTGCTGCTAGACCAGTGAGGGCACAGGGTAGGTCTCCAGCAAATCTTTGCCGGACAACTGAGAGACTCAAAAGTCTTCCTAATATGCAAATCTGATCATGTTATTTATCTGTTTAAAAACTTTCAGTGGTTCCCATGCTTTGTAGGATAAGATCCAAACTCTTAGGTCATTCAAGGCTCTTCACATCCTTGCCAGCATCATCACCCGTCACTCACCATTTTCATCCTGTGGCTCGGCCATCCCCAGTGAACAACCAACAATTTTCTGGGTGATGCATGTGTTAAGTGTAGCGGTTGCAAATGATTTCCAGCTCTGGAGTCAGATTGAGCGTGGTCGTGCTCCAGCTCCACCAGGGAGCTCTGCAAACTGGAGGGAATTCACTTAAATAAACTGTCTTTGCCTCAGCTTCCTCATCTGCAAAATGGGGCTGATAGTTAACACCTACTAAGGATTGATGTGAGAATTAAATGTGTTTTGCATAATGAATTAGCTAGAAACAACTTAAGTGTGCATACTCATCAAGCCCTTAAATCAGTCTCTGGCATATACAGACATTCCATTATCGTTACCCTGGGAGTTCTGCGAGCATGTAGATAAAATCCTCATGCTTCCCTGGGATACCCCCTCCACAGGGTTTGCCTGACAGACCCGAGCCATCCTGTGATTCTCAGTCCCCAAATCGTGGCCTCTTTGAAATGAACATCTGTAGCCATGGAGGGTTAAAAGCTTAAGTTACAGCATCAGAATGTGTGGTGTCACATCCTGCTCCTACTATTCACTATTTTACTCTAGTCTTAACTTGTTAAGCTGTGATTTCCTCCTTTATGAACTTCAGGTAAGAAAATAATCATCTCTACCTTATTAAGAGTTGTCAGGAAAAAAATATAAAGTCAAGATACTTCATTCAGGTTAGCGATCATTTTTATTAGCAGCCTTTCTGCATTTTATCAAGAACTAGCCACAGTATTATGATAAACTTTTTCCTTGTTTCTCTCCATGCGTTATTTGAGTTCAGAGACAGGGAATTTATCATTGCATCTCAGGCACTTGACACATCATTCAGACCATGGAACTATGGAACCCACAAGGATTCAGCTGCTTTATTCTGGATACATGTGACCATTTGAATATGTTGCTTTAATTAGAGATTTCAGAAGACCATGTCCCTTAAGAGAAGATGTTAGGAAGGAAGGGGTGTTTAAGGACTGATTATTCTTTTCTTTGGGAGGTCCTAAAGCCTGAAAGATTAAACGGTCCTTCACCATTTAATTTGATCCAAAGGTGCCTGGGTATGGAGAGGAAGCCAGACTGGAAAGGCTGGGACTTCACTCCCAAGCCATGACTTGTGTTTTATCAGTAGGATTGAATACATCATCCTGGCCCCTAAATGGGGTTATGCCCAGACCTAGTAACACAGCTGGTTATCCAAGAACAACACCAAGCCCTAATTTGTCCTGTTACCTGATCATCTTGCTATGAATACTCTCACCAAGGTTACTTTCAAGTCACCGCGATGATGTTAACCAACTTGCAAAGTCCCTGAAAATGGACGAGGCAGCTGGTAATGAGCTGGTTCCAGCACACACTCTGTAAACTTCGTCCTACTTCACTTTTTCGATCTGTAAAATGTGAGTGCTCTGAAGTTACTGTCCTGTCTCCAAGTAGAAATGTCAGTGGGAGGTGAGTCAAATGTGGAAAAACAAACATGCAAATGTTAGTGTTTTGGCAATGCCCCATGTGCTCAGCATTATTTCGAAACTCTTTGTGTCCACTGGCTGTGTGCATCTTAGGACCGGGATCTGAGCTGACAATCTTCTCTTGCAAACCAGCCTGTCTGGAGTTCTGCTCAGAGCAGTGTTTCTGGTTTTATCCTCCCAATCAGGATTATACTCTCTGCAGCAGACTGACTCAATTAGCCTTTCATTCCAAAGTCCAATTGTGAGTCAATTCTGAGGTTGTTAAGCAAAATGAGTCTGGTGGCATTAGCCTCGCACTGAAGGATAGTAATCCGCACCACAGTGCCGTTCAGTTAATAGCCTGCTTGAGAGACTACAAGAAACAGGGACTTGGAGACAAAGCGACCTTTTGTCCATCTCCGGGGGACAGGCTGGGAGTGCAGGGCTGCCAGGTCGGAGAGCTGCTCAGGTTGTGTGCAGAACTGGAACCCAGCTGCCTGGACCACAGTTGGCCTTTGCAAAGTTAGAAGCCCAACAGCACTAGATCATTAACTTTCATGACCGGGAAAATTCTTCTGAAATTAACACTTGTTCCAAGCTCCGCTGCCATTGGAGCCAGTTGAGTAAGCCTGAGCCACCTTTAGGGATTTCCTTGGAAACATAAATCCTCTAACCAGGCTACAGAAAATGGCCAGGTTTTATGCCCTTCAGTATGTTCAATTAGAGTCAGAAAACACCGACTAGGCTTAGGCTGTGGGAGATCCAGGCGCACAGAGAGGCACATGCACGAGTCTCATTTGGAGGATTTGCCAAGCCACATGGCCCTGCTTGGGAAGCGGTAGGAAGGGACCTCTCTGAGGACTGTCAGGTGCCGTGCGAAGAAAATAAAGCCGAGCTCCAGCATCTGCCCTGGGGACGGACAGTGATGCACACACATAAGGGTGTCCAGATTGGCACAGAGAGGGAGGCTCAGATACCCCTGGTTAAAAGGGTTCAAGGAGAGAGAGACCAGTCCCTCACAAACACCCTGCAGCATTTGCAGTGTGCTGTGAACTCGGAAGATTTCATCAAGCCTTTTAGCTCCCTTCGAGTTACAATTGTAGTAAAGGGACACATAATGGGCTTCCTGCAGGCCTTTTACAAACCTCTGTGATCTCCATACACGCTACCTTGCTCTGCCCCACCACACAAGCAAGCTCGTAACCTAAAGCATGCTAAGTAAACACATTTTCTTGGGTGGAAGGAAGTAAAAACAGGCTGCCAATTTGGGTAAGCTGAAGAGAAAAGGGCTGAGACAACTGTCCATTGTCTGCCATAATTGCTGGATAATTTAAATTCTCTTGAAGTCCATTGTGTTCTTCACTCAGAAGCAGAGCTGTTGTCTGCTGAGATGACCTCAGAGGTGGCCCCGCTCTCATTCAGGATTTCTCCAACAATATCCTCTTCAGATTGAAAAACAGCCAGTTGGCCACAAAGAGCCCTCTTCCTCCCCAGCCTGGCGTGGCTGCGGCCCCTCTCCACCTCTGGGTGTCTGCAGTTTCACCACCACTCAGGGCTTCCTGGTGGACTGCCTTGCCCCCAGGGCTGGTCCCCAAAGTGCTGACAGAGTCAGCAGCTGATCAGCGCCTCCAAGCACTACCTCCAACGGAAGGCCTGGTCATAAGGTGAAACGGTGCCCAGAGTGAGCGTGAGCATCACCTGTCCCTCCTGCCTTTCCCCTCGGTTCTGGAGAGGGAGCTCCTTCTCAGTGTCACTTGGCTGGAATCAATCTCTGTCCCCTGGGCTGGTGAATGAGAGATAACTTACAAGACAAATTCACGTATTTTTAAAGCCAGCAGGAATTACGGGAGCAGATGGGCTGTAGGATCCTATTTTGATGCCAGGGACATGTTTCTGTATAAAGTAAATATTTTCCCAGTGTGGATCTCTGGTGAGTGTGGAGAGAAGCATATTTCCTAAGGATGCAAATAAGTCTGTCAGAAATAAATATTGAATGGAAACTTCAAAGCATCTCGATTTCTACAGTTATAGGCTCTGAAGACTTCTCTGCAAATAAGTAGACACACAGGTGGGCCAGGGCTGCGGGAGGGAGGGGACAGTAGTGGGGGGTGGGTTGTATAAGAGACGATGCTAACATCCTAAGAGTTCATACTTCCTATATTTTCTGGTGTGGAAAAAGGCCTATCAACAAAGGAACAAAGAAAAGTTGCCATTTGTCCAGAAGTTTAGGGTATTTGAACGCACACCACCTGCCCTTTCTTCCCGTTGCAGATCTCGCCTTGCGGATTTTTTTACCAACTGCCAACCTGAGTCAAGGTCTGCCAGCAGCTGTCTAAAGGAAAACTATGCTGACTGCCTCCTCGCCTACTCAGGGCTTATTGGTAAGATTGGAGAGAAGCGGGACGGGAGAGAAATCTGGTTTACAAATACAGACCTTTTTCCATTGTAGCCTGCCACTATCTGTGAAAGGAAAAAAATCCCCCAGGAACCCTCTGTGCTGGAGTTTTGATGTTAAGCCCTGTAGGACTCCCCTGTTAAAAAAAAGGGGGGGGGTGGAACACAAGGATCATGGATGTGCGGAGGCAGAGGCAGGAAGAGGAGGATCACAGTAGTAGTATCACAGTATCACAGGCAGACCAGAAGCATGAGCACCTGGGAAGCATCCCGGGTGGAGATCTGACCACACAGAACAACAGTAGGAAAGAAGCATGATTGTGAGAGAGGGTAGCAAGTCAACCCGAGCTCATTGAATTAAGGAACTTGGAAGTCATTCCATCTGGGGAAATAAAAAAAGGCTGTTCCCCAGAAATGGAAATAAAACCTCTAACCACCGGAGTCCTTCTCACCATTAATTTTCTTGGTAATTCAGATCCTGGTGTGCAGGGGGTGATTTAGCCTAAAATTTTTCCCTGAGAACAGACATAGCAGAAACAATGTTATTGCCTCTCAAGAGCTGAGGCTTTAGAAGAACCAGGTTCTCTACGTCTGAAGCAACAGTGCAGTTGCCAGGGTGCCAATGAGTTAGGAGAGTCAAAAGAGGCAGATCTGTGTCCATGGATAAAAGGGGCAGGCGGGAAGAAAGGCAGGTGTTCCAGGTCCCAGGGCCTGAAGAAGCCTCGGTGGCGGGGCTCTGTCACGATTGACGTGTGAGGACAAACATGTAGTGAAGGCTGTGGAGGGCTGAGGGAAATCACCCTTGTCAGTAGTGGATGGCTCAGCCAGGGTGTGTGTTCCTGCCACAATCGCACAAGTCACCAGGCAGAAAGAACTTCCCACCAAGAATGACAGCACAGACTAAATCATTTTGTCACTAGAGTGTCTTCAGCAAGAAGCTTTCAGGAAAGTTAACTATGGCACATAATGCAGGGATATTACAGGGCCCGGTACACTCATCCCCGTGGTTGAAAGGTCTCTTGAGCAAAATCCTTTACCAGTATTGTGTACCATTTTTGTGGATATATCCCAATGGGTGTATCTTCCTTGAGTCAGTATTCCAAGTTTGCATTCACTCTTTGCTTTCTTAAGTTGGTCTCTAGTAGGGGTTACTTATCAACTGTGGAATTACAGGAACAATGGAAATAATTAAGCCATGCTCATTATAAAAAGTTAAAAAAAAATACAGAAAAACCCAAAGGAGACAGTAGGAAGGCTCTACAACTCTACACCCAGACGTAAATACTATTAACACCTTAGTCCATATCCTTCCAGGCATATGTGCTCATTAAATCCTCCATGAGTGGCCAAGGCAGAGTGCTGCCAGGGATTTCTGGCTTGGCAAACCATCACATGCCTAGGATGATGAAACACTCATCACGTAATGGAATGAAATGGTTGAAGCAATGCATTTTACAGACCAAAATTTATTTTCCTCTTGGGTCTGGATCTTCCCCTTCACACTGGTCATTGGGTTCTAGTGTCTTTCAGGACAAAGCCTGTGCCTCCTTCTTCCATATGTCAGGGATCCATCATGGTGCCCAGCATTCAGTAGCTGCCTAGTAGATACATTTTAACCTCTTGGCTTAGGGTTTTGGATGTCTTTTCCTTTCTCCTCCAAAGTTAGGTGCTCACTGTCTGCTGTGGGTCAAAGTTCCCATCCCGAGGTATAATGGGAGATAATGTACTCAAACTGGTAAGGAATGTAGGGCAAAAAAGATATGTCCTTGACCCAGAAGAGCTTACAAAGAATTTTTCTTTCTGTTTATGAACCAAATATATCCTATGGCTCACTGACCGCCTATTACTTCTTAGGTCCATAAAATACAGAAAAACAGAAGGCTTCTTGGCATGAATAGGCATCGCCTGGTGTGAGCCACCCAGGAGAAGACATTTGAGTTGTATTAAGTATAAATGCATTGTTTATTTACACCAGCACAGAGCTCATCAGAAAAACCATGAATATAGGAAGATGTAGGCAAGAAAGACCACCCAGTAATTCTTTGAGGACTTTTGAGGACTACTGAGACAATACTCTAAAAGCCATCAGCATAGAGAATTTCCACTGTTTATTTCCAATTCCTTCGCAACTTGGAAGACTTTATTTAAATCAGTTGAGAGTCTGGTGAGCAGAGGCCTCGTTATATATGTTCCGGATGTGGGGTAACCCAAAGGATAGCTTCTAAGCTTCCCTGTGTTACTTTGAAGGAGCCATTTGCTTCTGAGGGAAGTGGATACAAAGTCCTAAAAGTATTTTTAAAATATGTAAAACCAGTTCTATCTATTTATGAAGATTAATGACATTTTCAAGAAAATGCAAGGGATTTGGCAACTCATGCATTCTAAGTTAATTCTCTCCTACTCTGTAACATCCATACCATTTGTGCAGGAAAAAAAAATACCCTAAGTGCAGCTCAAGGAGTTCTGTTATAATTTTTAAAGTAAATGTGTAAATTATTTTTTGTGCTCAAGATAAATTGCCAAGAAAATGAACTGTTTAACATAATTTCCCACTCAGCAAACACAGTGTTTGTAATTACCCGTGGCGCATCCACCATCAGAGGAGCGTTTGTTTCTTTTTAGGCTATAGAAAAGTCTGTACTGTCATATAAGAACAAGATGCCTTGTTTTTACTTTTTTAGGTACAGTCATGACCCCCAACTACATAGACTCCAGTAGCCTCAGCGTGGCCCCGTGGTGTGACTGCAGCAACAGTGGGAACGATCTAGAAGAATGCTTGAAATTTTTGAATTTCTTCAAGGACAATACTTGTCTTAGTGAGTTTTAAAAAGAAAAAGGAAGCAAACACACAGACATGCTCTCCTCTCTGTGTTCAAGCTGTACCTCCATGTTTCTTGTGTCTGCCTCTTCTCTCTTTCTCTCTCTGTTGCTTTTTCCCTGCTCGCTGGTGGTGAATCCAGCATCTCTTGGCCACACTACGCAGTGCAGCAGGGAACAGAGCAAGTGGGTGCTGCCAAGTCCGTGAATCCAAAGGCCTAAGAGAGCAAGAGATTCAAACAACGGAGGGTACATTATGTCAGATAGAACACTATTACCCACAGATCAAATTTTGATCTTGGCAACCAGTGCAAAGTCTGTTCCAAAGGTTCTTAAAACCTGGGCGCAATATACAGCGTGAGAAGCTCAGACAAATTAGACAGGGGTAAGCCTCCAAGGGCTCTCTGAGAAAAATTAGAACATTAACATCAATAGCCCCCTGGATGTTCAGGGTTGGCTCAGAGGAGAAGCCACAATTCTTGAGTGGGATAAGCTGGTGATGCAGCCAGGAGCCTCAGGATGTCAGTTATCTCGGGAGAGAGAGATGAGCACCCGGTGGGGCGGGAGGGCGGCGGGGGAGCCCCTGCTTGAAAATAGTATTGGTTATTATTGCATTGCCTTCAGGCAATTTGGAAACATGTTTCCCAAAGGGCGAGGGATAGAGAGGAATGTACAGGTGTGAACAATGGGCATTCATCAGACCTGTGCCAGGTCTTCCTTCTATCCACTGAGACGTGCACAACTTGAGGTGATGATCCAGCCAAGATGCTTGAGTACCTCACTCTCATTTTGTGGCAGGCATCATGAATTTATTGGGTGCCTTCAACTCACTCTATAGGGAGTGCAATATATACATTATCTCATTTACTGTAATCGGCACAAGGGTCCTAGGAGATATAGGTACGAGCATCTCCATTTCACAGTTGAGTAAACAGCTGTTATTCGCCTGGACCCTCCATGCCAGAGATGGATCTGAAGCCCCAGTGCCTTCTTTTGCAGGCAGGGGCTTTTGTGTCATGCCTGATATTAAAGGGCCCATTGGAGGAGAACATATGGCCAAACGCTGGGGCCAGGTGGGACTTCCTGGTGAGAGATGTTGGAGCAAGCTTCTAGGAGTGAAGGTTCAGCCACCCCCCTAAGAGCCATGACAACTCTCCATGGTGCTCTGCTCTATACAATGACTGATTACCAGAGAATTAGCTAATAACTTACTGGTGTGTACATGGAAAAGCTTTTCGGTGTTACATATTTTGAAACCTCTTTATTGCTGCCTTTGTTGAAAAGACAAATCTAAATGATTTGCTTACTCGGTCCTTCAGTAGTATGGCTGTAACCAAATGTTGTAATCATCTTAAAACTAACACAAGCTTCTGAACACCTAAGTGATATTGAAAACCACCTAAGTGATATTGAAGACATTGGGCATCCCACCGAACTATACCTCAGATCTCTTGTTTGGTCTTTCCTTTAAAAAAAAAAAAAACCCTGGAAATTGTGTATATATGCTTCTTTTCTACATCCTGCATAGTCTTCTGGCAGAATGAAAGTTTTAATGAAGATAAAGCAGTGAGAGTATAGGTCAGTGTGAGAAAAAATTATAGTCACACTGGCTGGAAAACTGCTCCCTTGCGGAGAAATTCAAGGTGTCCCTGCTTAATAATATTTTGGTGAAGGGGAGACTAGTCTGGCATCTTTTTTTGCTAATGACTTTTCAGTAAAAAATAAATACATTTGGTCTTCAGCAGGGACCAAAGCCAGCCGGAATTATTCATAGTCATTCCATTTACACTTTGATGAGAAGGGGCACAGCACACCAAAGACACAGTGCTGTAGATTCACTCTCTTGTAAAAGGCTCTATAGAGTAGAAGGAATTGAAACTTGTAGATTGCAACCCAAATGCAGTAGCCCGCCAATTCTCCTGCCAGATCTCTCTCGGATGCCTCTATCACAAACACAGCTTTAACTGATTGCTTATTTCTGGTTATTGGAGGAAACACAGTTCTTTTTAAGCCAAAGTACATGGCCAAGGGGAGGGGAAGAAAGAGAAGAATGAACTGGAGACAGAGGTAAGGTCCCAGTTACTGCCACCTTCGCCTCCCTGGACCACTGTATTTGAACTCCAGTTGCCCATTCTACTCACCCTTGCTTCATTTTCTTCAAGCATTTCTCATCACCGAATGTATTCTGTGTTTCACTTTACTTGTCTCCCCAGTTGGCATGGGGTCTCCACGAGGGCAGGGGCTTTTGACTGTCATTTCTGTCATCAGTGTTCACTGCTGCATGTCCAGCACAGAGCAGTGTCTGGCATCTAGTACCTGTTCCATTGATATTTGAGTAAATGAGTGAGTACTCACTGAGTAAACGAATGACCAAGTAGCAAGGCAAACACACCTGAAAACAAAGGTAGGACCCATAAATGGCAGGGATCTCCTGAATCTACCTGTCTTCACAAGAAAGAGAAAGGAGTGTTCTTTGGTTAGTGATGGTGGTGGTTCTGGGTCATTCAAGGAAACCAGGCCCCCGTGTACCTCTTTCTCTGCATCCCCCCCAACCTGCTAAGCCATGTAACATGGCTAGGAGCATAAAAAGCATTTATATTAATTCGAAGCTGTTTCTTACAGCCTAAAAAATGTAAAGTTTTAGAAAACAAGCTTCCAATTTGCTGAACCTAAAGGATAATAATTTTAGAACAAAATGTCACTTCTAAGAGGAAGATTAGGCTTAAATTATTCTGTCTTGTATATCGAAAAATGCCAGCTAAGAATCATATATTAACAATTTGCACATTCAGGTCTCAAATGGAGGAGTTTGATTTCTTACACAATGAATATGAAATAAAAAATTCCTAAAGCCAGGCCAATTCTCTGAGGACCTGATTAAAAACTGTTTTTAATTCATTTTGGGGAGGGGAACAACACACAACCAATTTACTCTTGCCATAAAAACAATCTAATCCCATGAAATTGTAATAAGCTTTTAAAGTTTTACATTTTAAACTTTTCATTTAAGCAGGGCTGCTCCTACCTAATTATGCAGATTTTGTTTGGAAGACTGGGAGCAAAAAGGGAAAAAATAATCTTACTTAAATTTTCACTATATATTGATGAGATTTGGGTAATTTTTTTTCTTTTAAAGAAACCAGTTGCATCTGTACTTTGAGCAGTCCCTGGCTCATACTGGCTGCTCAAAGCATGTTGCAAGGTGCTCTGTGGTGGTGAGTCACATTTTTTGCTGTTTGATTTTACTGCCTGCCAAACTAGTTTGTATGCCACCAAGTTGCATCATAACTAAGGATATGTTACTTTAAAAAAAAAAAAAAACACTAACTAGTTTACTTTAGTATAGAATTTTAACAAGGATATTCTTGGAAGATGGAACAGTGATTGTTACCCCCCAAAATAGGCTTGAGGCTGGGTTTCGAGGTGCTTGACTGATGAATATCTCAGGGCAAGGATCTTGCTCAGCACCTAGTACATAAATAGGAACAATATTTGTTGCGCTCTGAGCATACCTAAGTGTCCATCTCGGTGCTTAATGAATGAATTGATTTTTGAGCACCTGACCCAATGGCTGGCTCTCAGCATGTGTAGGGTGGATGGATGGATGGGTTTTGTTCAGGGAAGTCCAATACTGTAATCAGAATTTCTAGTGTGCCTCTCTGGCTTCATGTATCCTGTCTGTTACATTTGCTGCTTGACTTTGAAATTGGATTTCCTCCTGTTTTACTGCAGAAAATGCAATTCAAGCCTTTGGCAATGGCTCTGATGTGACAGTGTGGCAGCCAGCCCTTCCAGTTCAGACCACCACTGCTACCACCACCACAGCCTTCCGGGCTAAGAACAAGCCCCTGGGGCCAGCAGGGTCTGAGAATGAAATCCCCACTCATGTTTTACCACCTTGTGCAAATTTGCAGGTAAGAGCGGCAGCCGAACTCCCCGTTGGAGCTCACTTATGAGGGCAACACAGACCAGTTTCCTTCAGTGCACTTAAAGATAAATGGCTAATGATGAGGGCTGTTGGGTTTGAATCTTAAAAGTGCATTTTAACCATGATTAATGGAGATTGTGAAGTGCCTCAGAGTGAGGAGAAGGATGAACTCTGGAACTGACTCCTATTTGCTGCGAGTATGACATTGGTCAGGGTACCTGGGGCTGGCCTTGGCATCTTCACCTGTAAAGTGAGGGGGCTCGGCAGATGAATCTTTAAGCCTTCTGCTTGTGGAGTGGCCAAGTTGAGTTGTTTTTTTTTTATTTTTTTATTTTTTTTGAGTTGGTTTTTAATTTACCTATCCTTATTCTGCATTCTCTACAAAGCAGCAGCCTATTGAACTAGAAAGCACTCTTGGGTTGGTCACCATCACTGTCATTTACACTTAACGTGGGGTATTTAACTCTGTCTGAAGGTAAACCAGAGACAGTGTTGCTATTGAGATGTTAACTCCAATGTAGAGTCCCATATGGCTTCATTTTTCCTGAAGCAGAAGAAAATGCTTTTCTGGAGAAGGAGGAGCCATGTGGAGCTACCTCGCAAAGCCTCTTGCGTGTATAGAGGCAAGTGTGAATGGCCAAGAGACTTCCTTAGGGCTAATCCAGATCTCCAAGGGCAGAACCACAATGGCAGGCTAACAGTGGTTTCCTGCCTTTAGTCAAAGCAGTGTTTATTCGGCCTTTTTATTGATTTTTTTTCCGTAGTAACAAGCATTTCGTAGTAACGAGTGTTCAACTACTTAGCAAGACATTACATATTTATATGTTTGTGAAGTATTTTCACACACTTTACCTCGTTGGCTGCTATCCTCCTGACGGCTATGAGAGAGCGATAGTATTATTGTTAGCCTCCTCCTTGCATTTGAGGACACTGGGGCTTGGTGAAATAACGCTTTTGCCGGAGCCTACGGAGCTTATGAGTCACAGAACTGGGAATCCAGGAGACTCCTGTTGCTTTCATAGTTCTTCCTGTGTTTGGGGGGTAGTGGTGACCACATGATGGTTTCTTCTTCATGCCATGCTGGGGAAGGGGACATGTGCCACACACTGTGCTGTCACTTCACACTTGTCACTGGAGTATATTCTCCTTTCTCTCTCCCCACCCTGCTGCCACCAAGGATCAGGTTCACCAGGATGTTCACCAGAAACCTCTTTTGCCAATACCTTCTTTAACTCACAATCCTCTTTGTTCCTTACAAACCATGGGGGCAGTTCTTCTGCTTCTGATTTCATTGCTGTCTTTTCTCCCCCAAGGTCTCCCTTCTTTTTGGATATCCTACGTGCCATTCAGCTGGCTACTGGTCTCTGTCCCATCTTCCTATGTCTTCTTCCCAAACACAAACCTTCAGACACACTCATACACACACACACACACACACACACACACACACAGACAACACAGCACTGAGGAGAAGGCGGGGGAGCCACACAGCCTAAGGTCAACCAGATGTTCTTCATGCTTCTGAAGCATTTCCTGAGCATGTCCAATATCCAAAGCACAGTGCAAAAACTGCCAGAAGTAGGAGGAGGCTTGGGGACTATTACAGCATCTAACTGTTCCATCTTGCAGCAGAGCCCTCAGGCTCTGGGAGGAGGGGTGACTTTCACAAAGGCCCCCAGTCAGTGAGAGGCAATCTGGAGCCAGACATCGCACCACAGAAACGGGATCTGTTCTTCATCTCTGGCTGATGCTCAGCATCCTGGTTCCTCCTACGGTCAGCCTTCTCTTCTTACTGGGTCCACTCAGATTCTAGCATCAGGAAAGACAAGTGGCCGGAGGAAGGATAGGACCCTGTTGTCATTCACTGATAAGAGTGAGCTAGATAGGGTTCCTGACCTGTAGAAGAGGCAAAGCTCTGGCTGCAGCAAAACGAGGTTCGTTTCTGCACATGTCTGAGGGCTCAGAGCATGACTGCAGAAGCGGTGCTTTAGCCTGTTTATTGAGCTCCTTCTGTGTTTCGGAAACTTCATCAGACAGACACTCAAAAAGAAAAAATTCTCTCCTCAGTGAACTTACAAATAATGGGCAAGACACAGCTTGTCAACATTTTTGGAAGGTCAAACCAAATTAAGAGATGACATTTCAGGAGAAGAGCCATCATTGGAAATTCCATACAATTTCCTCCATGAGAGAGGACTGTGTCAGCCCTAAGAAGGCATTCCCCCCACCTCCCCAGGCCCTGCTTCCCCACCCCCCCCCACCCCCAGATCACAGAGTGGGACTTCTGCTTCCTGTGGCGCAGGCATGTCTTGGCCACACAGCATCGTGCCTCCAACCCAGATCTGCCCAGCCACCCCTTCCTGCAAGGAGGGCTCTGTGCTGCTGCAAGGTTGCCCTGGCAACGTCAGGGGACACATGAGCTCTGTTCCCAAGAAACGGTGCCTTTCCTTCCCCTGTGTTAGTGATAGGAAGTCTGCCTCATAAATAGAGGGGCAAAGTAAAATTAAAGCATGATGTTTGTGTCAAGACTGCTATTTAACTTCTCAGCGGAGGGGGAAACGGAAGTGTGGGACCGAGGAAGGAGGGCCCAGCCATAATTCTCTTCCCTGTGACACACGCACACAGAATCCATATACTTGGAGCCAAACAGCATTTCACTTCCGGAGAGCCCTTCACAGTTCTATCACCCCTCACCTTTCCCCCTATGGAGAAGACCTGCTTGAGCCTGGTTTTGCACACGAGGCAGGGAGTGAGCTCTGCAGCCAAGCCTGTGTTCCCACCTGGCCCTTCTGCTCACCAGCACCATGGCTTCTGCAAGCCTCAGCTTCCACAAAACTCGAGGATGGCCAAGCTGCCAGAGTTGAGGGGACTAGATGGGGGTCATGCTTCAGTGCTGGGGCAGAGTGAATCCTCCAGAACGGTACTTTAAAAATGGCACATGTGATGCTTGATCCCGAGTTAGTTGGCTGCTGGGTCCCTTTACAGCAGATGGATGGTGGTGTTGTGCCTTGCTTGCAGACATCCTTCCCTTTTACAAATAAGGCAGCCGAGGCAGGGAAAGGTGAGTGACTTAACCAGAATCACGCAGTAATTCTTTGGAGAGGCTGGGCTTTCTGCTCCAAGGCCAGTGTACTTCTGCCATAATCCATGACTTCGAGGAACCCATCTGGGCTCTTTCTTTGAATTAGAAATGGACAGAAAGGACAAATGAAAAATAGAAAAGTAGGTTATCCAGGCTTTGTCTTTCTGCATCTGTCTCATTTCACTTAGTGTCACGTCCTCTAGGTTCCTGATCTCACGTATATGTAGAATCTAAAAATGTCGAAAATTTTAAGGCAAGGAGAATGGTGGGTACCAGAATCTGGGCAGTGGGGGAGATGGAAAGGAACTGGTCAGAGGGCACAGGTGTCAGTTACCTGGATGGATGGGATCTAGAGCTCTAGGATACAATATGATGACTACGGCTAGCAGCGCTGTATTGTATACTAGCCCATCTTAACTGCTCCCATCCTCCCCAAACATGGTAACTACCAGAGGTGGTAGGCTAATTAGCTTGATTATGGTAAACTTTTCATCATGTATGCATGTATCAAAACATCATTTGTATTCCTTAAATACAACTTATTTCCAAATATAGAATTTTTATTTTTAATTTACACCTCAGGAAAGCGTGTTGGGGGCGAGGGGTGAATAGAAAAGGCAGCAGTGAGAAGCTAGTTTCAAGAGAGCCATATGACCTACTGCTTCCTGAAGGCAGCTATTCAAATAATCGGGAAAACACAAAGTTCATGCTTTAGGTTGGGATTCTTCATGCAATTCCAGGATATAAGGAATAAGGGAAAGATTAAAAGTTTGCCAGCAAAACTTTTTTTTTGCAGCTTGGTGATGTCTTTAGAATGACCTATACTAACAACAGTTGAAATCATTGGAGGCCAGAGGATGGGGGGAGATGAGTGAGTGATAAGAGACGGGCCTTCGCCCCGAGAACTTGGTACCTGGCACTGATTTAGGACTCGCGCTTTGGAGTAGGGCTCCCAGGAGACTCATTCTCCCCATCTGTCCTTCTTTTGCCTGCCTAGCTGTCTCCAGATAAATTACCATTTGCCAGGGGGTCCTAGAAATATCTTAGAGTGGCGTTTGTCCCAGCCATGTGTGTCATTACTCAGAATAGAACTGACTTAAACCAGCTTGGGATCCATTGGTAACAGATTTGGAGAAAGTCAGCTATCTTTGGCAGCTCTAAAGTTCACTTCCCTTGAGAGGCACCCTCTTGTAATATTTTAAAATATACAATAATATGAGAAAACTCTTGGGGACTTGAGTTTCTGTCTTAACATTTGAGATAGATTTCCCCTTTGGAAGGGAAGAAATAAGAATAAACATTTTCAAAAGTCGGCTCCAAAGTATAATTATCAACAAACCAAACCCAGTTCTTTTGGGGAAATCGGTGGCCTTGGGTGTGGGACGTAGAGACTCATCTGCAGTTCCTATGCAAGGCTTGCCTTTAAAAAAGGAAAGTTGATTGATTAGTATAAAATGTCATAGAAATGCCCAAGTGCTAACCCCCTGAGGTGATAAAATACCAGGTTTTGGGTAACCCGCCAAGCTCCCATGTCAGGATTAATTGGCAGTCATATTAGTAACAAGCATGACGCAGGCTGTGCTATTGTTGGCATATCCCTTTGACTTGTACAAAGTGGTCACGTGAAAAACAAAGGAAGATTAAAAGTTCTACCGATTATTTCATCTTCTGTGCACTTGAGTGGTCTGCTAGCTGGAAAAAGCTCAGGATATTTAAACCAAATGGACTGTATTGTCGCCTATTTAAAGTAAATATCTTTGGGAGATGTAAGTAGGTATTGGAAAAAATCCCGACTTTGCATCATTATACACCACTTAATTCTGGAAGCTTAAAATATGGACCCCTTATAGTGGTGTTTGTAGGTCTTTGACTTCATGGAGAAAGTTCTGCTACCTCTGCCTCTT